CCCGCCACCTCTTCTATCCCCTTTTGTTCCTCCCTCTGCCCTTCCTTTCCTACCTTCTTTCCTCCACCTCGTCCTCTCTGCACCTCCTTTTCTGCTTTTCCTCTCCTTTCTTTCCTTACTTTCTTTTCTCCTTTTCTATCGCCTTCTCAGTCCCGTCGTCTGCACTCGCGCGCGCTAACCACTGTTACTTTCCCTTTCCCCTTAACCCTCCCCCCGCCCCCTCCCCCTCTCGCGCGCTCCTCTACTCACTACCTTCCCCGACCGAATCGATCTCTCGATCCCCTCGGCCAATCGCACCTTCTTCCCGCCGGATCGATCTCTCGCTCCCCAATTTCTCTTCGATCACTCGACTTCTAACACTCGATCGCTCGCCTCCTTGTGCTCGTCCTCCTCTCTTTCCTCCTGCTCCATTCCTCTCTCTCTTATTCCTCCTTCCTTCTGTCTTCTTCTTCTCTCTTCTCCTCCGCCGCCTCTCCTTCTCCTCCTCGTCTCCACTCCTTTTCCGTTTCCTCTTCTCCTCTGTCTTCTCTTCGTGTGCCTTGCCACCTTCTCCGCCTGTCACCTGTACTCTTGTACACCTTCTTCTCCGCTGCCGTCCGTTTTCGGTCTGCCAGCTCCCTCTTCCTGCACCCCCGCCGATCGACCTTCGATCTCTCGATCCTCTCGACCAATCCTCTTCCTTTTCCATATCGACTCTCGCTCCTCCGCTCTCTTCTTCCCTCCGCTCTCCTCGCTCCAAGACTGCCGACTCATGCCATCTCACCTTTTTCGATCACTCCGATTTCTCTTCCGCCTTCCACTATTTTCTTTCGCCTCCATGCCCCCCGATTCCTCTCCCGTTCCTCTCTCCAACGCTCCTTCCTTCTTCCTCTTACTCCGTTCCAATTTTTCCTTTCGTCACTCTTCTCACGACACCCTCTCACTGAACTCTATAATATTACTATTTAAACTATTTATTTATTGCTTTAGAATTATTTCTTTATATTTTTTTCTATTATGCATTTATAGAATTTTCGCTTTTTTCCCAAACAAAAAATTTGGCTTTATTCTATTATTCTATTATTCTATTAATCATAATGATTTAAAATAATTTTACTTGATTTTAATTGATCATAATTATTAATTTTTTAAAATATTCTTTTAAATAGATTTTCTATTAATCTCAATTATTAATTCCTTATTATTAAAATATACCTAATTTTTTTCCTGATAGACATTAAATTTCATTTAATTATTTTCTTCTAGATATACTCGTTATTGAAATAAAAACATACCTATAATCCTTTCTCTCTTCTCATCTCTAACTCATTTTCCAATTTCCTTACCTGTTTCTAACGCTGTTCTTTTTATTTACTGTTTCGTTTGTACATTTCCCTTTTTCACGTTTTTCCAAATTTATCCTCGTTGTTAGCATATCCTTCACATAATCCTTTCCAGATTCTTTTTTCTTCAAGACAATTTATACCTTTCGTTGACCTCAGTCCCTCATTTTTTTCCGTTATCGCCCTTCAATCAGCATTCCTCATTAAACGTTAATAAATTAGCCGTATTTCATGAATAACTAAAATTGATTTAAATTTTTAAACAGCAAATAAATTTCATCATTCATGTTTGAAACCAATAGAAATTAAACTATTTATTTAGGGCTATACAAATTATTCTTTTAATATTTTATTCAATTTATCATTAAAACAAAGTTAACTTGATATTTATTTACGGCTTTACAAATAGTTCTTTTATGATTTTATTCTATTTTTCATTAAAACAGAGGTAGGTTTCTTTGCTTAAAAAATTTCGTTAATTTAATTTATTCTTATCTTTTCTGTAATCCTCTTTCTATTTTCAAATTTTTAAAACAAATATTCTATTAATCTATTAATCTTTGGTACAATAAATACCTCTTAATTTAACGTAATCGTTGTGTCAGTTTCAGAATAATCAGAACACCCATTCTCTACTGATATACATGTACTTATTAAAGACAATTAAGTGAGCAACCAAAAGCGTAAAGAAAGAAATAAATATCCAGTGCGCACTCAACACCTGAGCATTTAAACCAAAAACTTACCTATAATCCTTTCTGTCCTCTCTTCTCTAAGTCACTTTCTAATTTCCTTTCCCGCTTCTCACCCTCTTCTTTTTCTTTAGTCTTTTTTTGTATATTACCTTTTTTCCGGTATATAAAAATTTGTTTTCCTTTTTATCCTATAACTCCAAAAATATTTTCTAAAATTTTTTTTATCCAAGACTATCAATATATTCCTCCGTTGACTCCAATTCCACAATTAATTTATGGTTATCGCTCTTTAATCCGCGAATTTACCACTTTCCATATTACACATTTTTTAATTAACCATACTCAAATAATAACCACAATCCATTTATATTTGAAAACATATGTAACGGAGGCGACAGGGGAGGCGCGGCCGGTAGAAAGAGACGGCACGACCGGCTGCGCATGGAAAATCGATAACGCGCGGTTGCCGCGTCAACGGCAGCCGGCAACGCCGCGCCTGCCCCCGCCGCCTCTCCCCGCGCGCCTGCGTCCGGGGGGTATAAAAGCCCCTCCGGAGCAGGCGCTTGAACTCATTCTTGCCTCGGAGCTCCGAGCGACGACACCGGGCAGTGGGTACCTCCACTGCAGGTATAAGCCGGAGTGAATGGGTGCTCCTGTCTTCGGCTATATGCCATACCGGAGCACACAACGGAGGCGCTACTCCGTCGTGGGCCCCGTCCCGCAGTAGCGTACGCCTAACGGGGTGCTCCTCGGCGTACACATGCTACAATTTTCCCGTACCGGTCTCCTGTATCCGTCCTGGCTCCGTTCCCCCCGTGATAACGGGTACCGCCGTGTCTCGCGGGGACGGAGTAACTCCGCAGTAGCGTACACTTAACGGGGCGCTCCTCGGTGTACAATCACTACTGGAAAATACACGCATAACGAGGCGCTGCTCGGGCGTGTTCCTGACCTGACCCGATTCCTTTTCCTGATTCCTGACCGGTGTAGAACTCAGGGGGGTAATATTCGGGTGGGAAAAGAGATTCCTGATTAATTTAGTATTAAGCTCCGTAGCGTTAATCCCGTCACTTTTCTTCCTTACAGAATACGTGAGGATCCTGTAAATAACGTCCTCTCCGATCGTTCCAGCGTTACCAGTATAGTGATAGCCACACTAATTATATTCCGATCCGGTTGCGTATTTTCCGTGCCGTATACTAAATCCAGACCAATTCATATGTTATATTACTTTCCTGTATTCTTTAATCCAGCGGCGTTTTTGTTTACTTCCGATTAATCCGACCGGCCTTATAATTTTTGTATCCCGTATTCCGATCCGGCCGCGTACTCCTGTACCTTATTATAATCCGGCTAATCATATTCCTCATGTTTTTCATTTGTATTTAATCACAGGGCGGACCCATTGTACTTACTAATCCTTTTCTTTCCTTTTATATTTTGATCACAGGGCGGACCTATTGTAATTTCCTCGATCCCATGTATCTTATCCATGAATAAACCACGTTCCTATCGTCTTCTACCGAATTAGATACTTGTTCCGATTTATTTCCGATCCTTCCAAGCGATTACCTCACT